AGAAGAGGGGGGGGTGGGGGGGTGGGGTTAATGAGTGTGATTCTATAGTGAATTGTTTTTTATAATTTTGAAAGGGAATGAAATGGGAAGTTCATGTATAAAGAAATTGAATACTATAGAGAAAAAAAGGACTATGTTCTTAGGATGGATGAGATTTCCAAGCTATCATGAGTGGGAAAGGAGGGGTTATTTAGAGGGGAATCATGTTTTAGGGAAATTTACATTTTTTTTCCCTTTAAAATTTTTTTCTTCTATTAAATCTCTTTTGGTGAACTCTCTCTCTCTCTTCTATTCATTTTTTTTTAATTGAGGGTGTACTACTGGCTGAAAATTTGAGGCATAAGTGGTTGGGAAAAGAAAGAAAAGTTGAGGAATGTTTAAATAGTATAAACACAACAATAACAACAAGAAGACTTTATCCCACCAAGTGGGGTTGGCTTGAAAGTTCAATTAATGCTGCGACAAAATTATGGTACCTTATTTTAACATGAAATTGATTGAAATGTCAATGGGGTTTTCATCTTTCTTCTCTGATTGGGCAAATAGGCTAGAATTTGATGCCTTTACGTGATTTGTGTGAAGAAGGTTTGATGTGGGATGAACTATGATGATTTTTTTAGTTCATATAAAGGTTATTTGTACAATTTATTTAACTAAAAGCTTATTACATTGTGATTAGGTACTAGTACTAATTTACACAACATTATACGTTACTCAAAAGTGATAATTTTGTGTTTTTATATAAGAATAAGAGGGATAAATCAAATAGTGATGATATTACAAAGACGAAGAAAGACCAATGAATATAGAATGGAAATGAAATTCCTATGGTGAAGATAGAACAACTATTAATGCATTCTATGTTAGTAAAAATTACTTCCAGAAACTATATTTGATCATTGTTGTGATCTTTCCTTGAAGTCAATCCAAGGGTCGTGCCCTTCACACTCGAGAAATTCTTCTGTGGAAAAAAAAAAGGTAGAAAATGTTAGAAGCAATTCTCCATTCAATAATCAATTATTTAATATTACAAGAGCCTCCCTGTTTATAGTAATAACAGAGAGACACCAAAAGACATACATTCAAACATATTATGAAACACACTATTATTTTCATGTCTATCATTAATTGCTTGCGTACCATCAGGCTAAATAACTTGATGGGTTAATATGATCTATGGCAAAAGAAGTAGTCCAACAATCATAAGCCCAAAGTATAAACAAAACTAAACATGAACAATGGGCATGGATGATTTAAGTACATGAAATTTACACTACATGACCTTACCTAACACTCAAACAAAAACTCTCGTAGGAAATAGCATAGTATGTCCTTGATTTGTAAATCTAAAATGCATCATCCATCAGGGGTGGTGCCTGAAAGATTTATAAGGGGAAAAGAATGAACTAATCATAAGGTAACATTAAAGGATGAACTGCACGTTATTAAATGTGGAGAGGGATGACAGAAGAAATATGCATACAGAACTTGGTATAATGACCTCATAATTAATCCATTTCATTTTTTTGATCGATGTCTAGAAGTCTATACAAGCAATCTTATTTATAAAGGTCTAAAGGATGAGGCCTTGTCTTTTTAACACTTGCTTTAAATAAAAAAGAAAATAAATAACATTCAGGCAAAATTATTGATATGTTGAAAACTTCTTGAATCAACTTTTTAAATAATAAATAACATTCAGCCAAAATTATTGCTATGTTGAAAACTTCTTGAATCAACTTTCTTAATATTGGCTTAACTCAATATAATTGACTTATGAGAAACCAAATATGTGTGCTTAGTAGGTTGAATGGTGACCTATGCAGACAGAATCTTCAATTAGATCTCAAATTTGGTTTTATATCAAGGTAGTTTGTGTTTACAACTCCTGATGAACTAATTTTAATTTTGAGCCTTGCAAGTTGTTGAAAATTTTTTAATATTTCACTCATTTCTTTTATTGTTTTGTACTTTGTTGGGCTTGTTTAACTACTTCTAAATTTTTTGCTTTCTGTGGTTGAACAAATGTTTTTCTATGTTGAATTGCTGAATTTGTTTTTTTTTTCTGTAGTATAGGTCGAAGTCTTACTTTTTATGAGCATATACTTGTAATAGTTCAGTTTCTGCTAAGCACAATTGTATTATGCTCAAATATTATCCAAAATTCTTCTGATATCTTTTAATGCGTTTCTACTGGTTCTCAGCAAATTGTTTTAACTTGTACCTCTTTACAGTAAAATAACAGTCCTTTCATCATTTGATATGTTTTGAGCGTCTACCTGACTAGAAGTTACCCTAAAGGATGCAATTAACTAGATTTGATAGGAAATGCAGATTTTAGCAAGAAGGTTGTGTATGGCAGTCAACTCATGTCGTTTGGCTGATGCTTAATTTTCAGGGTATTTGTTATTGTTTGATCTATTCTAGACACTTCCCGATATTAATGCCTGGTAGTTAACAATATAATATCATATTGACCTGATAATATACATCTTTCATGAACTTATAAAATTTTATATTAATTTCAGACTTAGCCATTCTTATATTTAACATTGTACAAGTCAATAATCTTTTATTTCTCAATCATTGAAGTGCACATGACATCAACTTCTAGTTGTAACTCCAACTATTTTTTTTTTTTAATTACTCAATTATTTTTATTGTTATCCCAAAGCTTAGTTAGGTTTGTTTGTTATTTCCAGAAGAGAGTCTAGGATTATCAACTGTTGCCAGCTAGTGTATATGCCCTGGTGGTTTGTGTGTGTGTGTCATTCATTTTGCTAGACGAGTGCGTCATTCATTTTACTAGCATTTATTTGTGCTTCTAGAGATTTATTTTCCCTTCTCTGACATCTATTGGCATTATATTTGTTTGTTTTGAAGTGTGTTCGTTTGATCGGTCCCTTGTCAATGCGCCTGGACCTTGCATTCTTTTTGCAACCCCTGGGATGATTAGTGGCGGATTTTCTCTTGAGGTTTTCAAGCAATGGGCTCCATCTGAAAATAACCTTGTTACGCTGCCTGGGTATTCTCTAACCTATGTAATTAATCTCTACCTGTAATCATTTCTTACAGTGGCTTAATGCAAAACATATGAAGTTTTTCCCAAAATTGTAAATGCAATGCAATGCTTCATAATCTACATTTGAACTCTTGCATGTGATATTGTTACATTTTACAATGATTTTTAAAGTAGTTATAGAAGAAAGTATCTTGCATTTATTCACTTTATCTTAATGTTAACTAAGTAGCTCCAGTGATATATAGCATTACAAACTAGTTAAGAATTGTCAGTTCAACAACTTGCTCTATCTCGATTGCCTCTTCGATTTTTATCACATTAGTCAGCGTTGATTGGGATTACGGGTAAAAGCAACTTGTTGTTGTAGATAGATGTGGGCAAAATAATGTTGTCAAAAGTTGTTAGAAAAGTAATGAATATAGAAGTGTCAAATATAAACTGATCTAACACTTCAGAGCAGTTGCGAGATAACAAGTATCTCTCAACCATCTCTTTGTAAAGTGAGATTTGAGACCCGTTAATGTGGGGCGTCGAAGATGTCTGGAACGATGTGGTCCAGGACATGGGAGGGTTTGTCGGCCTTCTAAAGTTTGGAGTACTGTTTTTAAGAGGGGGCCCACTCCTAGTAACATAAGACTATATAATTGCTTTTTTAATTTTTAGGATTTAGTTTTTTTCTGTGATTTGCTTCGGGACAACCGTCAACATCTCCTTTTCCTTTTCTTGGGTTTATCATTGGGTTCCGAGTGGTGTTTCGGTTCTATTTTGATCTCTAGGTGGTATTTGTCCTTCTTATATCTTTTCCCCAAACTTTCCTGCATTGCTCGCTCTTCCCTTTTATCATTTTCCTTGATGTTGCCAATTAGAGCAGTACTCCCACCGCTATTAGTGTTGCTCGCCGTTTTTACCCTTTCTTTCGCCGATTTCCCCACTGCTGTCTCCACCTTCTAGCTTGTTGGCAGACCCCCTTGCCACCTTCCGGGAGGTCCAAACCCTGTTGTTGTAATTTCAGATTTTTTAATTCAGGAATAACATTTAATTTCTGTTGGGTGTTTGATACATTCCAGTATCATTTGGTATCAGAGTTAGCCTAACCCCAGCTCCATCCTAGAGTTATCAAATTCCACCAATATACCTTTTTTTTTTCTGCACCATAAATCAGCCCCATATACTCTCTTTCTCCTCTTAAATCTAAAACTTAGTCATGCCACCGAGAAGACAATTGTCAGAAGTCGATCAGGAACTTACCATGTAAGAGTGGCAGATCCGCCAACTTCAACAAAGACTTACTGAAACTGAGGAAGATACCCATGTAGAGATCACCGTCGATCGTATGGTGAGATTCAAAGAGGAGAGAGGGTGGACAATTTGAATCCCTTCCATAGAGATGATTCCGGCCAAAAGGAGGATGGGCCACAACATTGTGGGATTCAATATCAAAGGAGACCGTGGGATGGAATGACTTTTGGGGATGTGGAGACATAGGGGTGAAGGTAGCTTATTTTCGAGAATAGAATGAATCTGAATAAATTTATCGAATGTTTGCGTATTGTTGGGAGGATTTTTGAGTATAATAAGGAAGCGCCAATTGTTGGGAGAGTGAAGCTTGTTGCCATAAAGGTTAAGAAATGCGTCTCTTTTTGTGGAGAAATCTGAAGCGAGTGAGATAGAGAGAAGGTAGGAACATGATAACTATTTGGGAGAAGATGAAGGAGGTACACATGAAGTACCTACACCCACACAATCGTCATAACATGTTTTTGAAGCTCCACGACCTTCAACTAAGAGAGTTGTCAGTGGAGAAGTTCAAAATAATGTTTGAGTAGCTCATACTGAAATGTGAGCTGACAAAGCCAAAGGAGCACACTATATCTAGATACTTGTGAGGTCTGAAGCCAACCATCAACAATGTTGTCTAACTACAATTTTACTAGTCATTGAGTGATGTTCAGGCATTGTTCCTGAAGATGGAGAAATAATAAAAGCAGATCAAGATTCCACCTTCATTTAGACAGTCACTTACAGTAGGAGCTAGTAAGAATACATTTGAGGAATGTGTCAACACTTTCCAAAAAGATGATAGAGCTGATCAAAGTGGGAAGAAGCCTGAGTGGAAGAGTACACACAACACAATGGCCTCAAGGAAGTGCTTCAGATGTCATGGGTTTGGACACATCGCCTTAATTTGCCCTCTTTCATTGAGCAGGGAGCAGTAGAAGTTGACAATGGTAATAAAGGCAAAAGAAAGTGAGGTGGAGTTCCAGCTTCTAGCTGATAAGGATAAGATGGCCGTGGTTCGTCGGGTCCTTCAGACTGATGCTAAGAGAAAGTAGCAGTGACTTCACTACAACATCTTTTATACCTTGTAGCACATGAAGGGAAAGGTGTGCAACTTTATCATCGATTGAGGTATTGAGAATGTGGTCTACTCAAATGGTGGACAAGTTGGATCTCACTATTTGGGCATTGTCAGCCATATTCCTTGACTTAGTTAAAGAAGAGGAACAAGAGCATCATTGACAGGAATTGCCTTGTAAAATTTTCTATTGCAGATTAGTTGCATGATTAAGTGTAATGTGATGTTGTAATCAGGGATTTTTGTCACATTCTATTACGAGGACCATGACAGTTTTATCACAAGGCTTAGTTTGATGGGTTCAAGAATGCTTAGCTATTCATCAAAGATGGAAAGCACATAGTTCTACCTTATGGAGACTCTGATGTTATAGGTGTTCTTGTCATGAGAGGTGCCATTGGGATCAATTTTGGTGATCTTAGTGGTAGTGAGACAAAACCAATATCAGACATATGACAACCACTACAAAGAGAGTTTTAGGATATTTTGATCGATAGCTTACCGCAAGGGCTGCCACTATTAGGGAATGTTCAAGCTGCCTTCACTTTAGAGAGGAATGAGCTAAACTTGAGCTACTTTTGGAGGACTTTGCGGAGTACGTAGGAACGAAGTTTTAGTTCAATTCAATCATGTACTCACTAATGGTTGGATAGATAGAGATGATTATTCGCACTTCGTGAGACCTTCTCAGGTGTTATATATAGGATAGTGCATTTGATAGTGGGATCTAGGTGCTTCTAGGGACGCAGTCGAAATCCCTCAATTATCGGGAGATTGCAACTTTTTCGCCACCTTTAATGTAGTCGACTTGACTTCTTAATATGAGGAGATAGAAGCTTCGACAGATTAGATCGAACTTCTCCAATCCCGGGAGACAAATTTAGGGTATCACAGACGCCTGAGTCGGTTCGGTTCAAGACTTATGAGGGCTGGCTGACCCTCTAAAGTTGGGAGTGTCCTCTTTTTTTAAGTGGGGCCCACTTCTAATTACCTAAGACTATATATTTGTTTTTGTGATGTTCAGGTGATGCGGGGCGCTTTTTGCCCCAGACGCGACAAGTAACTAATTTGCCTCAAGACCAGTCTGGTCCAAGCAGAGGAGGGACCGACCGATTCTTCTAATTATGGGTTTTCCTACTATTTGAAGAAGGGTCTACTCCTCTTTTCACTAGATCTATATATATGTTATTTCTTCGTATTTATGTCAGCTTTTATCATGTTTTTGTTCAGGAAAGACAGCGGCGTCTCAGTTTGTCTCTTCTAGGGATGTATTTAAAGGAGGTTGGTGCTCGGTTGTAACTAATCCTAGGTGGTGATATTCTAAGGGTCGAGCGATGTTTCTACTATGGTTCATTCTCGAAGGAGTATTTATACTCGACTTTCCATCTTCGTAGCATGTCCTTCACCGTTGTTATCATCGTAATTGTTACAGCCGCTCTGACTAACAGTTCCTGCTGCTCCAAACTTCTCTGGCCACCGATTTCCCCCTCCCTTCCCCTCCCTGTTGTTTTCCTTTGTAACTTCCTACATCTTGCTCTCCTCCTCTGCAGACCCAAAACACCCAGCCACAACTCCTCCAAACCCCATCCATAACCACCTTCAACCACAACTCCACGGTACAATCCGTAAACGACCATCCCCTTATTCCCATGTTTCCTGCTGCTCTCCTATGACATCTACCCTTCACGTCTTCCTGCTCTCCAACCATACCACCCTCTTTTCCTTATTTCAGCCTCCCACAACCAACTTTCAGCCACCCGTTTTTCCCTATTTAAGCCTCACCACAACCACTTTTTAGCCTTGCTACCTTTGCTAACCACCTCCCCCGAGCCAATCGCAACCACCTTCGGCTTTCCATCACACATACGCGACCACCACCCCATTAGAATACAAATCTTGTTGAATTTGTGTTATGCATGTCGTTTTTCTATTTCTGCATGTTTGTAACCACGTATTGACTTTCTTTAGTAGTAATATTTGGTCTTTTATTGTTGTTTGGTTAATTTCATTATCGTTTGATATCCGAGCTAGTTTAACTTTAGCTCTATTTTATGATTTCTAGCCCCACCTATACTCAACTCTATCTCCACTCCAAAATTTTCTTTCCCACCATACCTTACCTCTACACACCTCTTGCTACCTATCTACACCTACACCCTAACCTCGCCCCTGTCTAATTGCAATTGTGGGAACCTGATCAGGAATTTACCATGGACAACACATGACTATTCTGCCAAGTGCTACAACAACTCGAGATCATTGAGAAAAAGGACCCAAGTAGGGATCACCGTCGACTGTGATAGTGAAAGTCGTGGAGAGCAAGAACATATGAATCCCTTTTGTAGGTATGATTTCAATGGTGAGGAGGATCGACTAGGGCACTTTGGGATAACAATATTAGAGGAGGCCGAGAGATGAGGTGCATGCTGGATGATGCATAGATGAAATGTCTGTTGGAAGATACAGAGATGAGGTGCTAGTTGGAAGTTATAAGGATGACGTGCCTGTTGGAGGATATTGAGACTTGGTAGTGAAAGTGGACCTACCAAACTTAAAGTGGAGAATCGATCTGGATGATTTCCTCAAGTGGACGCAAACTGTTGAGCGGATCTTTGAATACAACTTGTTGTCCGATGATAGGAGAGAAGCTCACTGTCATCAAGCTGAAGAAGAATGCTTCTTTGTGGTGAGATAATTTGAAGAGGGAGATCTAGAAAGAATGATGTGCCATAATCACTTCTGGGTAGAAAATGAATAAGGCGATGCAGCGACAATATTTACCCCCACACTATCGCCATGATATTTTCTTGAAACTCCACCACCTACAAGGGAAGCTTTTAGTGGAGTACACGATAGAATTTATGCAGCTCAAGTTGAATTGTGAGCTGAAGGAGGCAGGAGCATACCACAACTAGATACTTGGGAGACCTGAAGCCTGCCATCAGTAATGTGGTTCAACTAAAATCCTATTGGACACTGAGGGACGTGCAGACCTTAGCACTGAAAGTATAGAGATAGGTGAAGTAGAGCAGACAACCACCCACAGTGGGAAACCTTAGGAGAAGCATTCCTCAGGGAGTGGAAGAGACTGTTCAGGAGCAAGATAGAGCCACTCATAGTGAGAAGAAGCTAGGGAAATGTAGCCCAATATAGTCTCAGTCAGAAAATTACTCTAGATACCATGGTTTCAGGCACATTGGGTTGTTTGACGAGCCGAATTGTCTATCATTGAGAAGCGTAAAGTGGAAGAAGTTAGTGACAAAGAAGCAGTTGAAAAACGTAGTGAGTACCAGATTTCATTTGATGAGGGCAACACACTTGTGGTTTGACGGGTCCTACAGACTGAGGCTACGAGGGATTAGCAGTGGTTTCACCACAACATATTTTACACTCGTACTTTGAAGTAGTTTCATCATTGATGTAGTAAGAATGTGACATCTACATAGATGGTTGATAAATTCAGCCTCAAGACTTAGAGACATTCCCCGTCGTATTCTCTGATGTGGTTGAAGGAGAATATGTACATCATTGAATGGAGGTGTCTCGTAGAATTTGTAATTAGGAACAAGCTGTAGGATCAGATATGTTGTGACATGGTGCCGATGGATGTCTGTCACCTTTTATTGGGGCAACTGTGGTAGTTTGATTGTCGAATTTGGCATGACAAGTTTAAGAACGCCTATTCCTTCACCAAAGATCTTATTTTTTGCAGAGTTTGAGATGACAAGTGCTTTTGCCAATAAAGAAGTGCCAGTAGGACCAATTCTGGTGATGGCAGGGGCAACCAGTACATAGTGTTTCAAGACATCCTGTTCGATAGCTTACAGCCATGATCACCACCAGTCGGAGAGATTGAGACCATCCTTACCTCATATTGGGTGAACCAAGTGTGGATTACTTTTGGAGGATTCAATAGAATGCACTTAGCACAAAATCTTTGTTCAACTCACCAGTGTAACCCTAGATGGTTCGATTGATAGTGATGTTTGCTCACAAATGGGAAAAATTCATCCAGTGTTTTGGGAGACAATGCTGTTGATGGTGGGACCCAGGTACTTCTAGGGCCATTGTCGAAAATCCTTCAGCTCTTCGGAGGTTACAACAGCTCCATGACCTTCAACGTGCTGATAGAAGTTTCAACGAAGGAGGTCAAGGCTCATCCCCGGGAGATTGACGCTGGGCGCCCTAGACGCGAGAATTTTCATTGATTTTCCCTAGGATCAGTTCGGAGGGACCAATCATTCCTTCCAAGCAGGACTTACTCCTATTTACCCTGAGTCTATATATATGTTATTTCTTTGTGTTTAGGGCAGTTTTTGTCAATTTTTTGTTCAGCATCCCGGTTTTTTTCTTCTAGGACTGTATCCAAATGCGGGTGGTGCTCTAGCGGTAGCTCGTTTTAGGTAGTGAACTTCTAAGGGTCGAGTGGTGCTTCGGCTGTAGCTTGTTCCTGATCGAGTATTTATCGTCGACTTTATATCTTAGCCTCATTTCATTCACCGTCGCTGTAATTGTTGCAATCGCTCCGACGAACAGTTCCTGTGCTGTTCCTGCAGTCTCGCACTTTCCTGGCTGCCACGTCCCCCTCCATCTCTGTTTTCTTCCTATAGTCAGCAACTCCCTATACACTGCCATCCCTCACTTGCAAACCCCTATCACCTAGCCGAAACACCTTCAGACCCCGTCCATACCCACCTTCAGCCGCAGCTTCTTCAGGCCCCGTTCATACCCACCTTCAGCCTCTTTTTCCTATTTCAGTCTCACCACATCCATCTTCCAGCCTTCCTATCCTTGTTGTCCACCTCCTTGCGAGTGAACTGTAACCACTTCCAGCCTTCCATCACGCATATTTGATCACCACCACCATTGGGATACAAACCTTTTTGCATTTTTGTTGTGTATGTTGTTGTTTTTCTATTTTCGCATGTCATTTAGTTTTCCTCAGTAATAATATTTGTTTTATTTATTTTTTATTTTTTTTGTTCTCCTATTGTTGCTTGGTTAACTCCGATATCATCAGACTTTAATTTTTTTTATGATTTGCTTCGGGACAGTGTCAACATCTCTTTTTTTCCTTTCTAAGATTGTATCCTAGGGTTCTAAGTAGTGCTCCGGCTGTATCCTAGGGTTCTAAGTAGTGCTCCGGCTGTATCCTAAGGTTCTAAGTAGTGTTCTAGCCCTATCTTGGCCTCTATTAGTGCTGCGGCTGTATCCTAAGGTTCTAAATAGTGCTATGGTTATATCTTGGTCTCTAGGTGGTATTTATCCTTCCTATTCCTTTTCCCCAACCTTTCCAACAACTCTCCCGCATCCCTTTTATCATTTTCCTTCCTACCGCTAGTCAGAGCAGTGCTCTCACCGCTGTTCTTGCTGATCGCTTCTTTTTTCCTTTGCTGTCGCCGCTTATCCATTGCTACCTCCACCTTCAAGCTTGCTGGCCAACCCCCTTGCCACCTCCGCGGAGATCCAAAACCTTAGCCGACATCACCTGCACATTAGATCCAACTCTAGTTCTAGTGCTATGTGTTATTTTGTTCCAATTTTTGATTTGCCAGTTGTTGTTGTAATTTCAGATTTTTTAATTCAATAACAACATTTGTTTTCGGTTGTTTTTGATAAATTCTGGTATCACCCATGAGGAAAGGTTTATTGTAGTTTGGCATTTAGTTGAGACTTTATTTTTGTAAAGATTGATAACACAAGGTAATCGATTTATGCAATACCTCTTGGCTACACTTTAGGTTGGAGTTATGAACTTTTAACTATAATCCATTTTTTTACTATTATTATTTTCAATAGGTTAAGCTCAACCTCTAGGTGTGAAGGCACATATTCCATAGAGGAGCAGTAAGACAACAAAGAAGATACAAGGTCCGCAAAATCTTCTGATGAAGGTGCCCAGCTTTCATCGAGATTTTATCAAAATCCCCGACTTTAGAGAGTCGTTCTTTTGCGCAAGGGTACGAGGGGTTGTCATCAGAAGGACAACTTTTTGAATAAGGCGTTCAGGCAGCCTTCTCAACCTCGGCCTATCTGGTCCCACTTTTTACTTGGTGGGTATTTTGTTTTTAAATTAAAAAGAAATAATAATAGTAAAAAAAAATTAAAAATTTGTCTTTTAGAAAACATTTCATTGCAGTTGAATTTCATAGAAACGACAACATTAATGAAAAATGGCTCCAGAAGATTGATAGATTACCTTAGTATCAACTTGTACATTAGAAAGGGCACTTGGGATCCAAATGGAGAGATTTTAGAGACGTAGAGACACAAACAGATTCTAAATCCTTTGCACCTGCATATAATTTACCTTTTCTAACCTAATCGAGACATTGATTGGATATCTCAACTCCTCCATATTGTATTTGCATTATCAATAATATTGATTGTTGTTTGATGGTCTTTTTTAATAGGAAAATTTACATACAGACCACTCAGATCCTATGCATTTACATATCTACGAGCTAAAACTTCAATTTTTACGTATACAACACCTTATCTATGCATGAATAGGCTTGTCGCTTTTTAAAAGTTAAAATGGTTGTATTTTTGATGGGTTATGTAAGATTTGGATTTTTTAAATGTTAAAAAGCTAACTTTTGGTCTAAGATATGTTAATACATAAAAATTAAGTGGCATGTCTGTAAATCTTCCTTTTTTTTTTGCTGCTACAGTGTTTTGGACAGATGCGGGCAAAGAAGTTAATTCATAAAACTAATATTAAAATAAGATATTAGAATATAGGTGCTCTCATTGATAAATCAATGAAATTAGTAGATATTATAAATAGTAGAAAGATAAATGTCTTGTGCATTCAAGAAACTAAATGTGTTAGAGAACAAGCTATGAAGATTGATAGCCTATGTTTTAAATTTTGGTATTCAGGTAAGAAATGGTGTAGATGCTTTAAATTCGACTTATGTTAAGAAAGGTGGAGGTAGACCTAAAAAGACCGGGGCATGTTGTATAAAAAATAAACTTAATTTATTAGAATTAAATGAAAGTTTGACAATCAATAGGACACAATGGAGAAAAATGATTCATGTAGCTGGCCCACTTAGTGGGATAAAAGGTGCTTGTTATTGCTACAATGTCTCTTAAAATCCAGAATATTGGCTGTTGCTTGATGTTCTTTCATATCTTGGCAGCTATTGTGTCGCTGGAACCGTTGGGCATAAACTTATGTCCGGAAAACCTGCTCGGATTGATCTGGACAAAGATACTTCCATTGATGTCCGTTGCCAGGTTTGTTCAAAAGCTGTTCTCAAGCTTTCTATTGGTGTTGCATGTTCTCTTTCAACTAAATGGTAATTTTTTATCGACATACACCATTGTTTTAATTTTTATTACATGAGGATGTACAAATCTGTTGAACATTAAAGGCCATTTGGGATCACTTTTATTTTTATTTATTTTTTGTTTATTTATGTTTTCAATTGGGCTTATTGTATAAAAAATGATCTTAATTTCCTAGAACTAAATGAAAATATGATACTAAATAGGATGCAATGGAGAAAAATGATTCATGTAGCCGACCCCACATAGTGGGATTAAGGCTTTGTTGTTGTTGTATGTTTTTACTTGAAATAAAACATGTTTGATATGTTTTAACATGTTTAGTTATTTTTAAAAACATTCAAAATAATTTTTGGATAATTTGAGTGTTTTTAAAAACAAGTTAATTTATTTTTAAAAACAAAATATCCAAACATGCATTTTTAAAATAAAGTGATCTCAAAAATTAAAAAAAAATCCCGAACAAGCCCAAATTAATTAGTGCTTATAATTTTCTTGCTAGCCCTTTGAGAGAAGACTTTCAGTAGACAACTCACTAAAAAGAATCTTCTCAATGAAGTTACATTGTTTATTTTTTAATTTTTTGAGACTTACCTGTTTTTCTTTTCCATATCTTTTATTCTAAATACATATTCTCCTTTTCAGATCCATCAAATGTCTTTCAGCCCACATACAGACGCAAAAGGCATCATGGATCTAATTAGTTTCTTATCTCCAAAACATGTCGTGCTTGTACATGGAGAGAAGCCTAAGATGGCAATATTGAAGGGAAGAATAGAGTCCGAACTTAAAATTCCTTGTTTTTTTCCAGCAAACAATGAGACTCTGTCCATTCCTGCCACACAAACTATAAAAGTAGATATTACAAAATCATACTTGACAAATTATTGTATTACAAACCGTAACCGTTCAAAAGACGAATCACCTTATCTTCCAGATTCTACCACCAGTCACGACGATATCTCAGAAATTTTCAGCAACGAACGAACGGCCGAGGGCATTCTTATGATGGAAAAGAACAAGATTGCAAAGATTGTTTACAAAAACGACCTTCTTCACGCATTAGATGCAAACGAGCACATCGTTCAGCTGGCTTTCTGCTGCCCAGTCAAAGTAAAGAACAGCCCGAAACCAGTAGACTGCTTGAATGGCAGAATCGAACCTCCCTCGTTATTGGAGTTACTATTGAGAGAACTTAAAATAAAAATTAATTGCAGCTTTTTGCAGAAAGACTTGGAGCATCTCCAGTTGAAATCATTTCAATCACGGATTTGTTTGAACAAACTTTGTTCTTACAGGATTGAGCAGGAGGGGAGGGACTGTAAAACTGAAACTTTCTTCTGCTGTAGCTGGTCATTCAGGGATGATAATCTGGCCAGGAAAATTCTTAATGTCATGAGAGAAGTGGAGTTAGATATGTCCAATTTAGCACTTCCAAGTGCCGGATCAAGTGAATAAATATATGGAATGTTGACATGATAACATCCGAAGATGTTTGAAGTTTAGGTGTTATTATTTTTGTTGAAAATGGAATATTTTTCTTGTTTGAATATGTGCTGACAGAAACTATACTCTCCTGTATGCTCACCTATGTTAATACACATTTATATAAAGAAGCTATTCTTTTTCTTATAGTAATGTTTTAATCTCTTTATTTTTGGGATAATTGCTTAGAGGTCATCCCAAACATTGATATTTACAAATTAATCACAAAGTGATTTTTTGGAACACTGCAGAACCGACGTATTTATGTGTTCCACGATCAAGCCATTGGCAATTTTATAAAAAAGAAAAAATATGGGGTTTTAGAATGAATATATATATTTGAGTGAGAATTTGAAAAATGGATGGTAAAGGGTGGCTGATTTGTAAATAGTAAGATTCGGGTGGCATGCATGTAATTTGCCTTTTATTTTCTCTCTTTAAATTTATCCAAAAATGTCAATTGAACATATTAGATGTTTGATATTAAAATGATTTCATATAAATAGATTATAAATCATTTAAGCCATGTCATTTTAAATTATATAGAATGAAATATAAATGAAATAAATTTAGCTTATACTTTGCCCCTATTTATGATGTGACTGAATTTTAAAAATTGCTTTCATAAATTAACTGTATTCTTATTTCTTTCAAAATGTTTTTAAACGTTTTTAATTTATTTAAACACTTTGAAACTTTAAACCTAATTATTGATTTTCTTATATTTATTTTATAATTATTTTACTATTTTAAAATGATTTTCTTATAATTATAAAACAATAATTTTATAATAATTTTACTAACAATCAAAACTGCCAACCATGAGTAGTCGGTTTTACCGGTTCATATTTTGCTGACAACCGCATTAATTTCAGTAGTTAAATGTTCAATTAAATGCATTGACATTTCTTTTAGAAGATAAAGAACTCCCTTCTATCTCTTCATGTGATGCATGCTTACATAGGGGTGTCGCTATTTTATCCCTCTCTCCCTTTCTCCCTCTCTTATATATATATATATGCAGGTCGCTAGAATTCTCTGGCAGTGCAGTCTAGCGAAAGTCCCCTGGGGTCACGGATTCAATCCCGCCTAAGTGCATCTGTCTTGTAATACGGGATCGAATGGTTAGGCAAATGAGAGTGATTAGGGCCTTGTCTGGTCAGGCCAACCGGAGTTGGCCGATTACAGAGGATCAGACCTATTGAAGAATGCTAGATTGATTGGAGCTGGTCAGGCTAACTGGAGTTGGCTGATTGGAGAGGGTTGGACCAACTGGAGTCTGTCAGGGTAACTTGAGCTAGTTGAGACCGACTAGACAAGTTTGGGTTGACTGGACAATCTCAAAACCATAAACTGTGGAGGAGAATTTCTAACCTCCTACTCTCTTCTCTTTGAAAGGCATATGCAAAAAGAGTGAGAGAATAATAAATATGTAACTATAAGTATTTGCTGCTATAAGAAGTGGATGTTTTTCTCCAAATACAAGTTAAAAAAATTTTTAAGTAAAAATGAGTGGGGTGTTTACATGTTGATTATTTGTATAACTGTGGGCTCTATGGTCTCCTTCAGGATTCCATCCCCTGGGCATTTGGTTTTGCCTTCAAGGAGTTGTCTCATAGAACGCCATCCCATCACTATTACAGTTGACTTGTTCTTATAAGAAAAGTTTCCCTAGTGTCATCAGTGAATAACATCTTCTCTTTTTGTGTGACTAGATTGGCTATTTTCTTTAAATGACTCGATTATAAAGAAATTTAAGTAGTTTTGTTAAATTCGGACTATCCTTCGACCGAGGGAAATAGCTCTACTACATGGAGTAGTTACTATTAGTTAACTTAGGCTAAGATCTTGTGATCTTCAACCCTAGTTTAATTAACTTTATTCTTTTTTTTGGCCGAGTTATATTATATAACATAGTCATTGTCAGATCCTAAGTTCTGGATACTAAAAGTGAAGGGATGCATTATTTAGTCATTAACCAGTGTAAATTTTTTGTTGAAAAATCATAACATGATTTCTTTACATCATTGTGTAATTGTGAGACATTCCCTGAAAGAGACATGTTGTATGCTCTGAATATAAGTGTGCAAGGCTAAACCAGTGCTCGGGTGTAGTGTTAAATAAGCAAGGGTTCTCACATTATGGACAGATGCAGACAAATAAGTTCATCAATGAAACTTATATTATGATAAATAATTGGTATATATATATATATATATATATATATATATTATCATAGGTAAATTAATAGAATTAGTGAATACTATGTTCATAAGAAGATAAATATCTTATGCATTCAAGAAATTAAATGGGTTGGGAGAAAAAGTTAAAAATATTAATAGCTAAAGTCTTAAACAATAGTATTTAGGTACGAGTCGTACAAAAATTGATGCATGCGTAATTACTTAGAATTGTTTGAAAGTCGTTGTAAAAATTAATAAAATTAGAGATAAAATTACAACCCTAGATATTATTATTTATATTATGATTCTTAATGTCATTAGTGCTTATGCTCTTTAAGTAGGTTTAAATATATATTCAAAAAAAAATTGTGGAATGACCTAAAAGAGTTAATACAAATGATACCACTTGAAAAAAAAATTATTAGAGTAAGTTTAAATGAACATGTTGGTAAAGTTATATAATGTTTCATAAATATTTTTTGTGACTATTGTTTTGGAGTGATTAATGAGGAAGGTCAAATAATATTAGATTTTGATTTAACTTATAATTTTGTAATAGCTAAAACTTTACTTAAGAAAAGACATGAGTATATTATTACTTATTAACATATCTAATAAAAGATATCTAATAAAAGATAAATTAATTATTTTTTTTATATAAAAAAAAGATCGTTGAGAATATAAAGATTGTAAGATCATTTCAAGTAAAAATTTAAGAACTTAACGTTGATTATTAGATTTGTATTTTAAGATGCAGAGTTGGAAGACAAAAAAAATAATGAAATGTTGTTATGAAATTAGATGGAGGTACTTAAAAGACACAAATAAAAATATTTCAATGAGAAAAATTCAAGATTTTAAGGTTTGTGATGTTCATGAAGAAGCTAATTCTATGCCGGATAACATAACAAACACTACTAAACTAATGACAAATAATATACTTTGAAAATCAAAAGAAAATTTTTAATAAATAAAGATAATTAGTGGTGCAATAATAATGTTTAAGAATAGATAAAATAAAAGAATTCTTGTTATAAAAATTTATTTAAATATAAAAGCTAAGAGAATTGGAGAAAATATAAGGTGTATAAGAGAAGTATTATGATGCTAAGAAATTTATTTTTAGTAATCTTTATATTAGAATAGATACTAAAGAGAGTAAAATATATATGTATAAACTAGCCAAATAAAGAGAAAAGAAAAGTAAAGATTTAATTCTAGTAAAGTGTATTAATATGAAAATCAAAATGTTATTTTCTTAGATGAAAATATTTAACATAGTGGGCGAGATATTTTGATAAACTTTTCAATGAGTTTTTTGAAAATATGATCAATTTTAGTGATCATAAAATCATTAATAATAATATATATTTTTTCATTTTTACCATCACATTAGTAAAAGAAAGTTTGTGAGGCTTTTAAGAAAATCAAGGTTGAAAAATTAATAAGACCTGATGGTATCTCAATAATAGTGTGAAAATACTTTAGAGATTTGGGAATTTCTTGTCTTACTAAAATTTTTAATATTATTTTAAAAAATAACAAGATGGGTGACGAGTGAAGGAAAGAGTATTTTGGCCCCTATTTTTTAGAATAAAGGAGATGCACAAGAGTGTGAAAATTATAGATGAATTAAGTTAATATGAATTACATATAAATTATGGGAGAGAGTAGTTGAACATATGGTAAGACAAGATACAAATATTTCTCATAATCATTTTGGATTTATATGGGTCAATTCTATTATAGAAGTGACTCGACACGCAATTATGCAGATATTTATTTTGCAAAAGATTTTCAAAAACTTGGCTTAAATTATTTTTAGTGGCTAATGTGAATAAGTAAAATAATTTAGAAAAGAAATAATAAGTCTTCACACAGAGGGTATTAAGCAAAAATACGTATCGTTTCAAGTAATATAGGACTTTCTTTAAAAATCCCAATATTGAACACATAGGGAAAGCTGTAACTTTTTAATAATGACTTAGAAAAGCTTTTATCTAAATTACAGATAAAAATGATAAGAGAATGGTGTCAAAATATTTGTAAAGGAGTAAAACCAAATTTATATGCAATCTAAATTAAAGCACAAAGTAAAAAAAAGTTTAAAAGATTAATTAAGTTTAAAATACTTAAAGTTTAAAAGAGTTCGAGTATTAAGAAAAGATTTTTCCCCTTGCAAAAAGATCTTAATTAGTGTAGGAATAAAATGATTAAAAATATGAAATGATGTATTGTGACAAAGTGAAACATATTTATTCTCTTCCCCCTCTCGTTGCTGGCAAAGAATATTAGCTAACCTCAGGTTTGTTCTGCTTGTGTAAAAATGTTGAGTAGATTCTAGCATCTCACTTTTAAATTACCCGCTATGCCCTCTTTATAGGACATATAGATCCAAACTCAAGATCGAATTGACAAAAGAATCTAGCTTGTCATCCAATAAACATCAATTATACGTCCATTGAAACTTATCTCCCTATCTATTTACACTTCCTCACGGACGATTGTGATGACTCTATCTAAAGTTAAGTGTGGTACTCACTAGTTGAGTGAAACCATAGCCCTCCTGAGTCATTATGTTTCACAACAAATTTTAACATCATAAATGACCAGTTTGTAAAGTCAATGAAAAATCGGTGAAAATACCATCACAAATTTTAAAATAAAAAAAAATATTTTTAAATCATTCTCATCCCACATGATTAATTCCCATATGCAAGGAGAAAGACAGAAAAACTATTAAAAATTCATTGAGATAAAACAAAAACACATGACATGTATTGTATGTTGTCCTTCTTTAATGTCATGATAGAAAAATTTTGATGTGGATTTCAGGTATTGCTATTATTGCAACCTTCTCTAGTGCTGGGTGAAAATATTTTTTCTCAAGTGTCTGACAATATCTTTAATAAGGGAATGACAGATGTCCTTATTGGTTATGATTTCTCTT